TTTGTGCCCTGAATGCTAGACACCCTTGAATTCTCCATGTGCAAGGATCTCTTCAGAGGTAGAGTTATCATACAGCAATTGTGCTTCCCTGCAACAAGTCCTGACACGGGGCCAGACCAGAAATTGGGAGTCGCCATGGAAAGAAACAAGTAAACCAGAGTCTGGCTGTGCATCTGTGTCAGGCATCAGAGGAGACGGGTCTGACAGGGAGGTGCGAACAGATTAGAAACCCAGTGAAAATGTGGAATCAGGAAATGATACACTATTAAGCACTGCAAATGGGAATAAGAGGGAAGCAGGCCACACCTAAGCTAATTTCACTCTATATTAGTAACAAATTATGATAATAAAATTTTTATTTCTGTGACATGTTACAGTTTGAAATGCATTTTCAAATGTCCTGTTATACCAGTTGAGCCTCTCTACCACTTGGTAAAGGGGACACAGCAAATGTTCCCATTATATGGAATGATAAACTCAGTTTTAAAGAAGTTAAGTAATGTTCTTAACTTAGCCCATTGCTTTTTAAGTTACTAGTTTGGTAGACTATTCAATATGCTACATCTTGAGGGATTTAAAAAAAAATCTACAGAAATATATCATATGTGAAAAAAATTTGTATAAATTTAAGTAAGTGCCATAGACTCAGTATATCTTGATTTTTATCCCTGTGCATATCAAAGTATTGCATTTATATGCTGTGCACAATATGGTTGAGAAATGAGGTCAGGCTGACCAAGCAACTATTAAAACTGTTTTCTGTTTACCTCTTTCTTGTGGGTGATCTGGATGAAGACATAGAAGCAACTATTAAAACTGTTTTCTGTTTACCTCTTTCTTGTGGGTGATCTGGATGAAGACATAGAAGAAGCTCATAATTTCTGAAAATTAATGAAGCAACAGGGAGAGTCAGGTGGAAAAAAAAGAGTTTCTCCCTTAAAATCCCAGTCACTAGGCCAAAACTAAAAAGGTAGAATGTGAAGCCCTACTTTTGATTTACACACCCAAGATGGAAGAAGCTTGGTTTGTGAGCAGTTAATATAGACAAATTATTAGTGCTTAATATGAAATAATATGAACAGTAACATACATATGAAATATAAATTTCCTGTAACTATAAATGCAAGTTGAATCAAAATCCATTACTAAAACAGCTATGGGGAACTTGAAAGCAGCATTGCTAGTAGAATATTGATCAGAACTGGAAACAAGTAGTAGTATTGTGTCTGTGGTACTATGTCTAAACCAATCCAGCTTCTGAGTATTTTGTTCTCTTTTGGGCTCCACTTGTTATCTGAAACATTAACGAATGGAAGTAGATCAGGAAGAAGGTACCCAAGAAGGCAACGGGGTCAAAAGCCCCTCACTGTTGACTAGAAATACCTGAAGAACTGAGTATTTCTCCTAGAAAAGAATTATCAAGGGAAAACATGCAGCATTTGGCCCCAAACTGGAAAGAACCCACTAATTATTGGTGTTCATCAAAGGTTAATCTCCTGGTTCCTGGAAATAGTCACACAACCTGGAACTGGGATTTCCCAGGATGCTCTAGAAGGTAATCCTCCCTTAGCTGGTGAACACCTAGCCTTCTTGCCTAAAGACGGTATTATTCTTCAAACTAGTCACTTATCTTCTCTGAGATGCAGTTTCCAGAGATTAAGTAGCTTGTAAATTCACTTCCAGCTCTCCCTTCCTAGGAAATAATTGTTTCTAAATGTAGCTTCATTTGTTTTGTAGAAACAATATACACAAAAATCTTGGATCTTCAACTTGACTTTCAGGATTTTATCCTCAAATAAACTTTTCTCAACCAACTTAAACAAGTGCTTCGAATCTAGTCCGTGAAACACAAAATGAGCCAGGTTTTCAAATGTTGTCCACCTGGTTCCTGGAGCGTTCTATTTACTTGCCATAGTGTTTTCTGAATCAAATTTTTTTTCTTCCATTTTCTTCCAAGCATCCTGTCTTCAGCCCTCTTTGTGTCTAAGGACAGAATGAGGTTGATGGGAAACTTGGAAAGCATAGAAAATATCTGCCTTTTACCTGATATTGTCAGGACTAGAGAAGGACCGACATGAAATTCAGGGCTTGGTTTTATGACAGTAAATGGAAGTAGTACTTCAAAGAATTGCCTCCAGCAGGACCAGTCATTGTAAGCAAAGTAAGCGCCTGTGTCTCTGTGTGTTAGGAAATGCACTGGAAAGTCCCTGCCCTTCCCCCCATTCACACACTTCCTCCATTTCTTTCCCCATTGTTTTACCTCATCATTAACCTTTGGAGATAATTTCTTTTAAGCCTCTAAGTATTTTAAGACTTTAAGAAGTACTTTAGTTGTTATTTTGCTAGCTCCTCCAGGGCAGTGTAGCAGGACTTGGGGGGAAAGGGCCAGTTCTAGGGAGGCAGAGTCCAGGGCTCCCCTGGAAAATTGCAATCATGGGAAAACAAATGTGTTATCCTTTCTTGTATTTTTACCATTCCTTTGGTACTGAGCATTGTATGAGTCACAAAGGATACAGAGGTAGTAAAACATCACATACTCAAGGGGTATGCCAGCCACTGAAAAAAGAAAAATGGTGAGATGTTATAAGCTAAGTTACAGTCTGCAGAACAGAGAGAAGAGAGAGAGAGAAACTCATTTTAACTCACAGATGAAAACTAAATTAACAAAGAAAAACTGCTGCACCTTTCTTTCGTGTATGCGAGGGTAGCCATCAAGGCCAGATTTTTTTCTTTTTAATCAAGGCCAGATTGCATTTTGTTTTTAGAACTAGCCATCAAAGGACTCTTTCTGGACTAACCCTCTCCCAGACATGGCCCCCTTTTCCCTGTCCTGCCCCTCTTATCTATTGCCAATATCTTTCTTCCTAAATTTTCATTATAAAACCTCCTAACTTCTTAGGCCCAGCGGACATTTTTCCAATTTGATCCAGCCATGCTGCTGAGAGCTTAGGGAACTGGTCCCAGGAGTGGTCCTTTCACATTTGGGCAGCATTTTTAATAGCTCAGTAATGCTTTATTTCAGAGAACCGTGAGTCTCAGAAGTTTGATTTAATATAATGTAAGCCCCTCTCTGATCTTTTCAATGTGTGATAGCCTTCATTAAAAAAAGACTGTCACAGAATAACTGACAGGGCAAGCCGCTGAAGTCCGAGTGTGACTGGGGCAGCCCAAGACAGGAACCTTATCCTGGTGAAGTGTTGGCTCCTGCAGTCGCTGACACTGGCTTGATCACTGTGGTACCAGACCAAGGTAGGGAAAGTAATCTTGGAGAAGCCTTCCAAGTACTATGGATTTTTGCTATAAAGTTCTATGTTTCCTGTAGGTCATTTACACAATTAAGTAGGAGTCACCTTGGGCAATACTCGTAATAGTGAAAGGCTAGAATTTCTCAGAACTTTCTTTTTTTGTTGTTTGTTTGTTTTTGTTTTTTTTTTTTTTTGAGACAAGGAGACAAGGTCTCACTATGTAGCTCAGGCAGGCTTTGGACTCAGTATGTAGCCCAGCCTGGTCTTGAACTTGGAGTGATCCTCCTGCTTCACCTTCCTGAGTGATGGGATCACAGGCATGCACCAC